TGTCTAGAAAAAAATAGATGCATTATGCAGTAGTTTATGTTTTGTTTTTACCCTTAAGGTGATATTTAACTGTGTCTGTCACCAGGAAATTTAACATTTTAGTTTTTTAATTGCCAATTAATGTGAGTACGTAACTACGAAAGTTTCTTTTTAGCGGGTTTAATTTTTGAATAAAAATACACGAATTCGTTATACATGTATGTGTGGAGAGGTACAACATCCTTTTTATGTTTGTGAATTTTCAAAGTATATGAGAAGTCGCAAAATGTGTTACAAAATAAGTTAACCCAACACCGTTCTCGACACCTCTTCCTTATTATATATATACGAAATTGATTATAAACATTTACTCCGAGTTCTCCGAGTCCTCCGGTTTCCCCACTGCTAAAGACCCTTATTGAAATAAAATTAAACCATGTTAGTGCCGAAATGACCTTGTTTGTTTCGAGTTGACGCTAAACCCTATCTCTATCTATCTATGTTTAAACAACATTATTATAACTAACAATATTCTTTGTGATTTTGTATTTACACGAGCTTTGTAATATATATATAATATGTAGGTTTAAACTTTAAATACCCAAACGTTCAGCCTTTAAACTTCTAGATACAAAGGCAACAGTAAATCATTGTATCTCCACCACTCTCTCTGTGGGCGATTAGCTACTGCATGTTCAAAGGAATCGGATCATAAATTGAGCATATAATAGCTTGGAGGATATAAATCAATCACTCTCTCGCCAGCTTGTCCCTTTAAATACGAAACGATCAATGAAAAGAAATGAAAAATGAGGGGCATAAAATTTAGACACACGGCTATTCTGTTATTAGATTTGATGTGGTAACTGTATTTCAGCATTTAAGATTAAACAATCTGTTTCCATGATTATTTTGTTCGTGTTGACTTGAATTAATTGTCTTCGTTGATTGTCTTTCGCTTCGGTTCTGTAATCCTTTATACTTCTTCGGGGGCTAAAGCCAAGACCTCGTAGTGCTGGCAACGAGCTGCCCAATCAACTGAAAATTTCAATTTGCTTTGTCACCGTCTTTGATGATGTCATTTATCAAAGGTTCGTCTCTTGCAAAAACCGCAAACAAATTTCAAGTAATTAGGGGGTTTCTTTCAGCAGTGATTGTTGGGACAGCAGTGCTCCGTGGTCTGTCGCCATGACTGAACAAATTTTTCATAAAAATACAAGTTAGATTGCATTTCAAACTGAAAATAAACCCAGCAAAATGAAACAAAAATAAATAGAGAATTCTATATGAATAGTTCATGAAATTTATAGGTAGTAACCTCACTACTAAATGCCTATTATATCATTCAATTAACAGCGGTGCTACTGCCTGCTCTTATATCGAATTCCGGGGGGGGGGGGGGGGTTAGCGTGTGCGCCCTGCATCATAAGGTGTGTCATTGAGTCAATTGGCGTGGTTTCGATTCCTTTGTCCTTTCGATGACAAGGAGTAGGGTCGCCTGTCCAACCTCGTGGGTTTTCTCCGGGTCCTCCGGTTTCCTCCCACTGCTAAAGACCCCTACGCGCAAGCGATTTATTGAAATAAAATTGAACCATATGTTAGTCCCGAAATGACCTAGTTTGTGTCGAGTGTACGTTAAACCCCTTTTCTCTCTCTATATTTATATCGAATTCCAACTGTCAGGGGTTCTTTACGTGCAATCCATTTTGTACATGTTGGTTCGCTAACACGGATGTCTCGGGTTCGCTCCAGGTGATGGCCGATAAAGTACCCGGGGATTTCCCTACTGTGGTTTCCCCTTGTCAGTGGTGCAGAAGTCGTTGGCACCGGAAGAATAACCGAGGTCCCATGTACACATTGGCGTGCACGAAAAAGAACCCTTGACAGTTGGAATTCGAATTAAAAGTAGGTCGTAATACCGCTTTTTCGGACAAAATTCCCGCATAGCACACCATATGCCCGTTCTCATAAGCTCTGTCTGTGCATAATAGTAGGACGTCAGTCAAACTCCATTTTATTCAGTCTTCTAGCACTCCGAAAGAAGCACCCCTTTAATTTGTTTTAATCAATGTAACTTTTACACACTTCACATGTCAACTCTGACATTAAAAACTCCACAAAAACACCAGACATGCACTTAATAGTATTTGTTTATTTGTTTTACTTTACAGTCCTACTCTACTTTCTCTTGTAATGAGAACATCTTTACATGTGCTCTTGTCAATTCTCTACACAAAAAATCCAACAAAATGAAATGAAAACATCAAATAAAAGCCGTAAATGACATTTGAAAGTAGAATTGTAACATAGATAAATGAAACCCCAAAACTTTATGGATTTACTATACTTCTTAGCTTATTTCATGCATCGTTTCAATACTCTTCCGGGTTATCTTTATTGCTTGATGACACTATTTGTCGAATTTTGCCTTGTTACTGGCGCTTCCAACTATCCTAGGATCTTTAACGTTTTGTCAATGGTATTCACGACACCTAGGATTTTCGTCCCAATGTCAGCCCCTATACCGGCTTTACAGACAACCGGAATCCAGACTGAAAATTCTCGGCTAACACCGGGATCGAACATGGGGCCTCCTGGTTAGTGAGCCAGTGCCATACTCACCGAGCTACCGCGGCTCCACCACCCCAACCCTCAAATACATGAGAAGTGATATCAGATGTTGTATTTTAGAAAGAATAAAAATACCCGTCTTGTGCACAACATGCGTCCGTGTGAAATGAAATGAAATGAAATGGGGTTTAACGTCCTACTGTTATGCTCCGAACTGGGCTAATGAAGACGGGCATACGCCATACAGTGTGCTATGAGGGAAATTTTGCCCGGACAGCGGCACTACGGCCAACTCTTATATCGAATTCTAACTGTCAAGGGATCTTTTACGTGCACGCTAATGTGTAAACGGGACCTCGGTTTTTCGTCCCATCCGAACGACTAGATAGCTGTCCTTGTCAGGCCCTCCGTTCTGCATCACTGACAAGGGGGAACCACGACGGGAAATCAGGATGAACTTTCTCGGCTAACGCAGGGATCAAACACCCGACCTCCAGGCTAGCGAGCCAGCGTCTTACCCACTTAGCCACCGTGACCCCTCTTTTTAAGTATATGAATAATCGGCCTAAAAATACCTCTATAGCAAATTTATGGTTATGAAGTTGCTCAAATTGACTAAGGACTCAACTAAAAGGTATTTAATAAGGCTCTACAAACCTATATATAACACTTTTATTGCTAAATGATGCAGTTTTGGGACATGAAGTGGTATCAGCTGGTTTAGAAAAAATCCACTTATTTTTTTTTAATATGAATATATGCATATTAGGATCGTGTAAAAACCTAAATCAACTTTATGTTTAAATGAAGTAGTTTTTCAGCTTGATTTATGAGGTTTATAAATACTATTTTTAATCTTTTGTTATGACTGTAATAATCTTTTAGCAATGATTTATTTCGACGAATGTTTTTGTGGAGTGTATATTAGAATATGACCATAGTACCAACTATGATATATGGCCACCATTTTGTGAGCACCTATACCTATATGCTACGTAAATTATATAACTTATATACATTTTGCGTTTCTGCACCGACCGGACTAATGAAGATGAGGAAGTTTAACTTAGTGGTATGATGGTTTATATTCTTCTGATATCTGTTTCAGTCGAGTAGATTAGAAATAAATTAGAAATGAAATAAGGTTTTTAAAGTCTTACTTTTCTTCACCGATTAAGCTAATTAAGACATGACTACGCTATGTAGGGTGATAGGGGGAAATTTTGCCCGGACAGCGGCGATCCGGTCCTTATCTAAAATTCCAGCTATCAAGGGTTCTTTATGCCAATCAATGTGTACACCTTTTCTTCCTATCCGAACGACTAGATGCTGTTGCTTGCCAGACCCTTCAGCCTGCACCACTGACAAAGGGAACCCACACCGAATAGACTAGAAAATCGGGACACACGGGAATCTTTATGTTTGGCAGACCTCGAAAAATAAGGACCCAGTTTTGTGATTAGTCCTATTTATCGACGAATATATACATTTGGAGGCGGACCACCATTAAATTTCCACATCTCGGTACCCGGTACCCGTAGTTCGTCTATTTATAGCAATTCCCTCTCTGTCTTTGTTCTTCCCTTTTTGATTTTATGGACGAAGAGGGTTTGAATTAACATTTTCTGTCAGGTTTTGGTAAATATTGATGACTTAGAGGCGGAAATATAACAGAGTTATTGGGTTTGTTACGGTGATATGTACGGCGAATAGCTACATATTTTTAGTATGCTTCTTGAGGTTTGTGTATCTCAAAATTTTGGTGGTCAACCTCATACAATTTTTTGGTGCAAAGACATGACTGTCGGTAGTGGAAAGCGTTTTAGCCCATCGGAAATTGGGGGAAAAGTTGGAGTCGGGCAAAGAGGCCAGAATTAACATTGAAGTCAATTGTGGTCTGCTTCCATTTATCTTCATGAATATCGCCCCTTTTCCTTAGAAACGTCTGATTATTCACAAAATATTTTATTCTATTTTATGTAGCTTTGGAGAATTTCTCTCGGAAGTCTGCAGTCCATCCCCTCGAACTACTGCATACTGCGCATATTTTTTGACAATGACCGAACAGTACCAAAGCTAAGATATAATTACCATTAGTTTTAGTCTATAAAAGTACCTAAACACATGACCACCACAGTTCCAAGCAATGATGTATTACCCCCTTTAGTATATCAATTTACCTACCTACATGTTCTAAGTAAATTATATAAGATAGTAAACAATAAAGAAACTCGCACTATTTTATCATACAACTTAATTTTCTTTTGATATATTCTGCTTGTCTTTGTTATAAATGCGGCCAAACAACTCTCGCTTCTGTCTATTATAAATAACCACAGCACATTTATTACAAAACCCGCTGACATTCAACAAAGCCCAGTTTTTCTAGCTCATCTCTGGCTTATCTACCTTGACTGTAATTACGGTACGGTGGCGCTGTGTAACATCGTTTTATCGTTTGCGTCTCAATGCATGGCTTTCGCTAGTGGCTTATTTATCGTCTGCTCTTCTACTTCCCCACCGCCTTTTGGCTAATTTATCGTAAACTTGTGGAGTTGAGTGACTAAAATAAATGAACTTTTATCTTGACGGACTGATTTTTAGTAGCGCAGCCATAAACACTTAATATCTGATTGGATTTTAAATTTTTATTAATGTTTATTTATAATGGAGTATTTTGAAATAAATTCACGAGGAAGATAATTTAAAGGTAAGCACTTTTTAACAGTTAATTAGATCAAGATTTGGAATTTGATTATACAGTTTACAGAATTTAATTTGTAATTAATTTAAGGAAATGTGTTATATGAGTGTAAAATTAATAATTTGCGTGTAAAATACAAGTTTTAAATATTTTGATTTTGAAACGAATATTTACACGACTGTACAGCTGTTGGACGTGCACTTCGTATAGGATGGAAAATGCATGAACTTGACAGATCAATCATATACCTGTCACCATTACTAGGTATTAGTGTGCATTTAGAAAAGAAAACGTACTAATCTATCATATAATTTCCTGCATTTTAAATAAGGAATTTTGATTGTCAACTTATTAAGAAAAGTTTAAAGAATGGAAACAAGTTAGTCGTATTTGAAGAATGATGGAAGCATTATCTTTGACAGTAAAAATACCAAGTGTTTCGAATGGACGAATTTATATTCAGAGTGTATGCGACACAAATTTAATAAATATTTAAAGCATAACCATAATAGGTGTATTGGAATTATACGGTATTACATGACAATAACTAATGACAGGTGTTGTGCCCGAGCTATAGTTACCTCTCTAGAAAACCATCATAATCTTAAACTTGTGTTGTTATTTTGTGTATAACAATAATTATTACATGGACATTCGACGAATCGTGAAGAGCAAGTACAAAATAAACAAATTTGAGTGATTTTTAAATCATAGATGCCAACTAGATTTGTCAATAAATATAAAGAATGGGGGATGTCGTGTACGAGGCAGTATATGTTTGTTTTACCAGGAACATCTGGTACCACTTCCCAGTTTTCCTGTAGTCACACGGCAATCAGATTTTGTTGTATTTTTGTTTAAATACTACACTAAGAAAACATGTAATTGTAAAAGATTGGGTAAATTTAAAAAGGAAATGAAATGAGATGGGGTTTAAAGTCCTACGGATCTGCACCGTGACCAGGTCATGGGACTAAGTAAAATGAAACGAAATAATTGTGTTTGATTGGCTTTAGGTACATATAGGTTATATTTATTAATATACTATGATTTCTTGTAATCCATCATCACCAGGTAATAGTAAGTATATACCTACCTATATGTAAAGAAGTAGATCAGCCCTAAGGGATATTGACTTAAACTTTCTATAAGATTACAGACATATACTACAGTACAGGACTTGTTACATGTTTAACTGCAGATCTTTTAATACTTACAGAACATCGCAGTATTTTACACGGGATTAAAACTTTGTGTAAATTTAAAGCGACGAGAGAACACCTGATATCACTTATCATTTGTATTAACTACATTAGAAATGAAAAAGAGTTTAACGTTTTACTTATCTGCACTGACTGGGTAATGAAGACGGGCATACGCCATGCAGTGTGCTATTGGGAAATTTTGCCCGGACAGCGGCTCTATGACCTATTCTTATTTCAAATTCTCTCATAGCACACTGTGTGGCGTACACCCGTCTTCATTGACCCAGTCGGAGCAGAAAAGTAGGACGTTAAACCCCGTTTCATTTCATTTCTGTTTTGCTATACACGGTTGTGAGACCTTTTGGTGTTGCAAGGAACCTGTAGGCTCCTTATATCTGAGATTCAGGTCCACCTTCTGGAACTAACTTTACAGGGACGGACTTTCTAAGGTTCTGAGGAGGTTCAAAACTCTGGACCTACCTCCTTTCTCTAAAAATGTTATTTTATAGCAGCTTCAGCATTTTTGTGATTCGGCTTTTTGGCGTCTGAAATCCAATTCCAAAACATAGCTACAAGCATGGACTGGTATCTTTCTCGTGGCACTGTATCCTCGGTCTTCCTAGAACACCAGATACCACTTTTAATTATTTAGAAATCCCTCCCAGCTAGAACTTTGCGTTTTTCTTCTGTATGTTTTAAATCGCCCCAAACGTTTTACTACACTTACTTGAGACTACAAGCGGGTTTTTAGTATAATTAAGCGGGTTTTAAGTATAATTAAGCGGGTTTAAAGTATAATTAAGCGGACTATTATAACACTTGAAACCAGCGATCATAAAGATTTCCTTAATGCATAGGTTCTCGTTAAAAGGAAGCGATACAGAATTGCTCTTGGCTTAAGGGTATTATTTGTCTAACGTTTTAGACCAATTGTCCCAATTCATCAAATTAATAGTCTACACCCACTCACATTTTCAGAAGTTGCTCTTAAACGATATTGTCCAGTCAGCAATTAACGACGTACGATACACGCTCTTTCTCTGATAACTATATTTCAACTGTTGAATGTTGATTATTATTATTCTAAAGAATCCATGATGATGTTGAACATAAATTAGACCACATCAAGTACGGTTATAAATTATCTGGTATTTGTTTAAAACCATCCAGCACACTTGATCGGTACTTGTCCGTTTTTGTTCACTTTTAGTAAAACAAAGAAGACATTTGGGATGATAAAAACTAGTTTATTTTACTTAATAGAAATCTTTTGTTTTCATCAAGTGGGGGAATCTTAAATGCTCTTGTTTTAAACGTGCACTCTCACTTTGGATCCATACGATGTCCAGTAATATTTTTATCCTTGCTATAATAGACATTGCAGAAAAACTGCACAAGAAAATATGGACAGAACAATTTATATGTTAATGAACCTAAACGATAATTCATTTGGCTTTAAATAACAATCCAAAGGAGACATGCTTTCTTTCATTTTAATCATATTCTCGCTATATTAGTTAGTGCCATTGTTTCATTTACTAGCTGGGATAATATGTTCTGTAGGCTTTGAATTATCCCGTTCATTAAATCAGTGACAGACCTAGGGGCTCTGAAGCGTGCACTGTTAAGGGGACCGTTCGCATTAGGGACCCCGAAACATCAAGCTTCGTTAGTTTCATGGTAGATCTGACCCTGTAATCATCGTAGTGGATGTTTACTGACTCTTAATTGAAAGTTCCATCTAACAGTCTTTTCTTGATTTACTAACACGAGTGTTCCACATTATAGTTGGAACACGTTCTTTACTGATCGTTACGTAAGTCTAAAATAGTTACTAATGTGTGGTACTATTATTACTAATTTACATATAATTGTTATAACAAGCCATGTTTATACCATTTCAACGGTTCAAATCGCTCTTCCAGAACTCACTCAGTTTTGAAAATAAATCTTAGTTCTGTTATAGGCTTAGAATCTGGTGAAACTGGGACTAAGATTATTTAAACGGAGACATGGCGTGTGGCAAACCGATATAACGGATTATCACTCAAATATTTGGCCGACATGTTGATGACTATTAGTGCCTTAAAACCTTCAAATGTTCTTTGTAACGAGTGCAGCTCTTTAGTGTATCATTCCAAAAATGTCGTAATAATTTCGCCAGTCTTTCATAATAGGCCTACTATAAAACCATTGTACATTTTATAACGTTGCTGTATACAGAATACAGTTACAGCATTGTCCCAAATTCTTAATTATCTTTATATTCAAGACGCGTGTGTGTAGTAGTTTTAATGGAATGTAAAAAGGAGGCCCCATCCATAGAATGTTAGTGCACATTGATGATTTGAAAGGTATGTTTTCTGGGGGAAGTTATTCGCCCCACCCCACACACACAGGTGAAAATAAGAATGATCATAATATGTGAGCCTCAAATTGATGGTCGAGAATGTTACACTGTTTTGTTTTCAGCTTTGTTTCCCTATACTAGTGGTGCAGCATGGAGGGCCCAGCAAGAAACTGCCGAGGTCCCGTGTGCACGTTAGCGTTCAGCTAAAAGAACTCGTTGACAGTTGTTTTTTAACGAAGAGGATACCGAAACTCCGCTGTCCGGGCAAAATGTCCCTCATAGCACGCTGCATGACGTATGTCCATCTTCATTCACACGGTTGATGCAGAAAAGTAGGACGTTCAGAGCTATTTCATTGACGTTCAGAGGTATTCAGAGACATTTCATTTCACGTTAAAGATGAAGAGTAGGACCTAGCACCGCTCTCATGGCGGAATAACGTGCATTTTGTGCAACGCGACCCCGATCAAGTGACATGTGTGCTATAAGTAGTCCATTCACCTTCACATAAATCAGCCATTTTTATTGAGGCGACTGTCAGCATCTTTAGTGTCGATAGACCATAAACAACTTGACATAATAATAGTAAACACGGTAGGATATCCATATGCTTGACAAGATATGCATATTGCCCTTAATAACCCTTATACAGGTATGATGGTCGGCATAGATCAAAGACTATTATATCACAATGTAGACAGGTAAATAACACTACTGGTAATCATCAAGGTGTCAATTACCAGTCAATCGTGCCGTATTGTTACTTACTTCCCTTGGTTCAGAGTTCAGCCTGTAAATTACAGGTAGATTAAATTACCTTTATCCCATCTTTATCTCTTATAATACTTTAAAAACGTCACCACACCTTTTTAAATTATGACCATCCTTGAAATAAAGATAAACCACCTAATCATCCCCATTGTGTTGTTACTTGGACCCTGGACACCCGACCAAGGAGACAATATTACAGCCCAGATTGATACGAAAGTCGAGAATTATTGGTCTCTCGAAAGGAAATGACCTGCCATCTTGATTTCATATTTGATTATTTCTTGCAATGTCTATATATTCTGTCTTGTCCGCAGGTTCATCTTGTGGCTTTTGTTTTTCGGGTAGTGCGGTCCTCCTGCACTTACCATTGGAGTATTGTTTTTAGGACTCCGGCTATTTATAAAAATAAGACTTAATTTTCAGTAATCAGATACATGTATATATAAGCATCTCCATATTTCCGAAGGACACATTCAAGGTGTGAATTATGATTATTTTGAGGGAAACAGAAATCGTATTATATCCTGCATTGTACTTCGATCTGGACCCTGGTCATCAAATTATCGGTCTTGGATATATAAATATCCCCAGATTTCCGAAGGACACAGTAGAGGTGTGAATTATGATTATTTTGAGGGAAAAAGAAATCGTATTATATCCTGTACTTCAGTCTGAACCCT